AAAAAAAAAACACCTCTGAGATTCCATCTCACCCTAGTAAAATTGGCCAACATTGTGAATTTGAACAACAAATGTTGGTGGGGAAAAAGTAACCCTATTGCACTGCTGGTGGGAATGTAAACAAGTACAACTACTCTGGACAGCAGTCTGGAGGTTCCTCCAAAACTAAACACAAACCTTTCCTCTAACCCAGTCATACCACCATACCACTCCTAGACATCTACCATGAACATCATGAGCCAGGATATGACAAGGACACCTGCCCATCCATGTTCTTTGCCATACTATTCACAATAGCCAAGATATGGAAACAGCCTAGATGCCCAAAATAGATGAGTAGATCCAAAAAAATGTGACACCTGTACTCAATGGAATTTTTCACAGCCATTAGAAAGAATAAAATAATGGCATTTTCAGGGAAATAGATGGAACTAGAACAAATCATGTTCATTGAGGTAAGCCAAGTTTAGACAAGTTCAGAGAGACAAACAGCATGTGTTCTCTCTGATATGTGGAAGTTAGATCTAAAATGCTCTGGGACATTACAAATTATACAGGATTCTACATACATACAGTAGGACACAAAGGCAAAATGCCTGTTACTGTTCATATTTATATAAAATAATATAAAAACAAATTCCAAGATATAGAAATAAAAGTTTTTTGTTTTTTAAGTTTTTCATGATTCTGACTTCTTTACCTTACGTACAGTGTATTGACATGGGTATCTTCGGGAGGATGGTATGGGGAAGACACAGAACTGGAGGGGAAAAGGGTGAAAAAAGTGTAAAGCAATGGAGCTCACTGGACATAGAAGAAAATGAACTATACAACACTTGGGTAGAAATGGGAGGGAGGGACTGGAAGAAAATGAGGGAACAGAAGACACTGGAAGGTAAGGAAATGCACTCATTATCTGACTCATGTAATTGTAATCCCTCTATACATCACCACTATGATAACAAAGTAAATTTCTAAAAATATTTTTCTGAATTCTAGCTACTCAGGAGGCTGAGATCTGAGGATTGCGGTTCAAAACCAGCCCGGGCAGGAGAGACCGTGATACTCCTATCTTCAATAAACCACCAGAAAACCGAAAGTGGTGCTGTAGCTCAAGTGGTAGAGCACTCGCCTTGAGCTGAAGAGCTGAGGGACAGCGCCCAGGCCCACAGTTCAAGCCCCACGACCGACCAAAAAAAAAAATTTTTTTTTCTGTGGAGAATGTGTAAGGTTTCAAGGCATTGCCAGGCAGCTTGCCAATTAACATATGTTTGACATATGACATTCGTGTCTCACTAATTTCTTGGTAGGATGCTAGATCTCTGAGCTCAGTGTCACCATATAACCTTTAAGCACCACAAAACATCACATACTGAAATGAATTACCAATCAATACCAATTCCCACCTTGACTAATTCAAGCACTCCATTGTATGGAAAAAATGAACATTTTCATGTCCTGTATCTCATTTCACCATTCAGTCACACCTTGTAAAGCTATGGATTAGGAATCAAACACTCTAATATTCCTTCTACAGAAATATATTTCCTTTCCTTCAATGCTCTGTAGAAGATCAGGGCATAGGAGATACAGATTGCTCCATGAGATACATTCGGGAATACTAGTTGGACAAAGAAGGGCCATCGAGGGAAGTTACTAGATTCATGAACACCACTTCACTCTGACAAAGGTAAATAGTTTAAAGATAAGTGATAAGCCTGGCATTGATGGCTCAAGCCTGTAACTCTAGCTAGTAAGGAGGTTGAGATCTGAAGCACAAGGTTCAAAGCCAGCCTGTGCAGGGAAGACTGTGCAATTTTTTTTTTTTTGCTTGTTGTTCTGAAAACCATGGTATCACCACATCCACTCAAGTGGGACACCCCCAAACCAGTCCTGATACTCTTGCTCATAAAGGTACAGGTCATCACCACAAGGAGAACACCTGGCCCTGGTGAGCCCTGTGAGACTGTTATCTCCAACTAACCCCAGAAAACTGGATGTGGCACTGTGGCTTAAAGTGGTAGACCACTAGCCCTAAAGGAAGAAACTCAGGAACACCACCCAGGCCCTAAGTTCAAGCCCCATGACTGACAAACAAACAAACACATAAATAAATAAATAAATAAAAATAAAAAAATTTAACAGGCACCAGAGGCTCACACCTGTCATCCTAACCACTCAGGATGTACTACTGAGGATCACTGAAGCCAGCCTGCCTGGCAGGAAAGCCCATGAGATTCTTATGTCAAATTAATCAGAAAAAGTAAATCCGTGCCTTAAGTGGTAGAATGTTAGTTTTGAGCAAAAGGAGCTCAGGAACAGTCCCCTGGCCCAAAGTTCAAAAGCCCCCTGGGCCCAAAGTTCAAAAGCCCCAGGACCAGAAAAAAAAAAAAAGATTGTATGATATAAATGATTATGTCTGTGGAGGAAATTTCAGCTCACCTGGGCCATGATTTAAAATTCTAAGAGTGGACAGGTCCTGTGGAATCCTCTCTTGGCAAAGCAGAGTCCTGAGAAAGGAGAGCAAAAGGAAATGAATGACCAGGCTTTCTTCAGGGTGTTCACATGGAGAAAACCTAATGGAAATCTGAGGAAATCTGGCTCTATTAAAAACCAAAGACACAGAACTAAGATGGAATGGAGTTTCAAGCAAGTGAGGCCCTAGTGCAGAGTTTGACTGCAAATGCATGAGACCCTGGAGCCAGGACCTTCTTAATAAGCCTCTCCTGAATAAGAAATAAAAATTCATCAATCCTGGAGTATTTCCATATATCTCTCTCAATCTAAGACAAATTGTTAAGGGCAAAACCAGTACGTAACTACAGATTGACCATATTTTAGATCGCAAAGAAAGTTAATAAATGTCAAAGGTAAAAACATCACAATGTAGCCAGGCACTGGTGGCTTACACCTGTAATCCTAGCTACTCAAAAGGCTGAGGATGGTGGTTTAAAGTCAGCTTTGGCAGGAAAGTCTGAGAGACTCTAATCTCCAATGAACAACCAAAAACAAGCTGTTAGTGGTAGAGTGCCAGTCTTGAGTGAAAAAACTAAGGGACAGCATCCAGGCCCTGAGTTCAAGTCCTCCAACACACACACACACACACACACACACACACACACACACGAAAAAAGAAAAAAAGAAAAAAGAAATGTATACCTTAAAGTAAGTCTAGGAATGTAGCCCACTTAAAGAGTTGCCCTAGGAGCTGGAACATGGCTCAGTGGTAGTATGTTTGCCTAGCATGCATGAAGCCCTGAGTTCCATTCCTCAGTACCACATAAACAGAAAAAGCTGGAAGTGGCCCTATGGCTCAAGTGGTAGCTTACTAGCCTTGAGAAAAAAGAAGCTCAGAGATAGTGCTCAGGCCCTGAATTCAAGTCCCAGGACTGGCAAAAAAAAAAAAAAAGAGTTGTCCTACATGCATATATATGTATACACATATATATGTACATACATAGTATGTGCATGTTATGTATACATACAGTATATGTGCATATATCATACATATATATATATATATCTATATGTTACATACATATATCAACTATCAAATATATATTTATGGCTCCCAAAATTCTTCCTTCCAGACAATATTGCATAATAACCCAGTGTTCACCTCAACGACGGTGATTAATAAACCTTCCTGTTCTTTTTATCTCCTGGTTGTGCTTTCGATGTCCGCATTCACCAGTCAACCATCGCCTCCACTTACACCTTCACTTCCAGAAATGATTAGGTCACTAAACACCACGTTTTGTGCTCCTCCCCGCCACTCGCTGCTATTACATTCATAACCATGGACCTTCACACAGTAGTGCAATCGTAACCATGTATATCTAATCCGAACTGTTCATCACACACACAGCCGGCTCCTGTCACCACCCAGTATGCAAACACACCAACACCCTTCGATCCCGCTACACACCACTCCTCACCCTCCCCCCAGGGTCAAATTCACACTCTTTACCTCGAATCCCGCAGGAAGCACAATCCGCACACGCACACACGCACCAACAACACCACAACCAGACACAACACCGCTCCAGGCCTTACACTGACACTCGTTCCGTACCGACTAACTGCGCAAGGTAAAAAAAATTAGAACGTCCAGCCGGGACTCTTGTCAGGACCCGCCGTGATTCCTCTCCCGTCCTCTAAAGGACTCCCAACTCCAACCGGAAGTTACCCGGGCCGCGGGACACTCTGGGAAATGTAGTCCACAGTCAGGAAGGCCTTTTAACAACCGATTACCAAGCTATCTCAATCTCCAGGTACTGACTTTAGACTGTACTCTTTCTCTTAGCATAAGCCACCGCTACCCACCGCTCACATCTATGTCCAAAACCTTGAAATTTGTATAGGCCCATTTAAAAGTACCTATTGAGACCTCCCTGTTGCTCTTCCTGTGCAAACCGGAACCTCACCAACACCATCTTGGACTCGGAGTCGCTAGGATGACATGATTCCTGGGAAATGTAGTCCAGAGGCTGGGAAGACAAGAACGGTGAGATTCTGTGGCGTAGCCTTGAAATTCCTGTAAAATGGTGTCAAGGTAGGACCAGTCTGTATTGTCTGTGCGTAAGCCTTAAGCCGCCTGCCTTCCTTCTTAAAGCACCAACCTGGGGCTAGCTTTAAACGAACGGGAGAGGGAGCTTGAAGGATTCAGTACCCAGCCCAAACCTGGTCTTGTGTCTGAGAATCCACAGAAACAGCTCCCGGAAGACTACCATCCTGATTTTTAGAATATTAATACCTTGACTTGTCAGTTTTCATCTATTTTTGAAATTTGCATGCATGCAATTGGACTCATGAATCTTGTCTCATCCTTAGTTATTAAAATTGCTGCCTTAACCCTCCCTCTCCCCCCCACCCAGGTGAAAAGCCTTCAAGAAGGAAAGGTATGCCCACCCAGGGATAAAATTTTTTTCTTCAATTACTACTGAGGTCAAGGGACCTCCAAATCAACCCAAGCTTTGGTGATTCACTGGGAGGGTCACAGTGAAATGACACAAAGCAAAATCTACATAGAGAAAAGGAACGTGGAGGCAAAGTCCAGGGAAAACAAGCCACATGCTCCTAAGGAAATTTTCACAGTGAAATCATCCCAGGCATCCATTCCTCCAGCAATGACTTGTGACAATGCATAGGACATGTTGCCAAACAAGAAATTTTATTAGAGATTCCTTGCTTTTGGTTTTGTTTTTAATTTCTTGGGGCTGGTCCCATAGAGAGCTGTGATTCAGGAATATCAGAACTTCACATTCTCAGCAGGAAAGCAGGTGTTTAACATAAGCCATACCTTTGTACAAACAGTTCTGGAATACTGAACTGTGAATAGTGGGAACCTTTCTGTACACTACTGTCCTCCAACAACAATGAATACAAGGTGAATTTAAAAGGAAGAAAAATTGCTGGGCGCCAGTGGCTCATGCCTGTAACCCTAGCTACTCAGGAGGCTGAGATCTGAGAATCACAGTTCAAAGCCAGCCTGGGCAGGACTCTTATCTCCAATAAACCATTAGAAAACTGGAAGTAGTGCTGTGGCTCAAGTGGTAGAGCGCTCACCTTGAGCACTGAAGAGCACAGGGACAGCACCCAGGCCCAGAGTTCAAGCCCCAGGACCAACAACAAAAAACAAAAAGGAAGAAAAATTAAAATGCAAAAGCAACACAGCTAGACTCAGATAATATCCAGATGTTGGACTATCCAATAAGCAAGTTAAAGTTACTGTGATTAAGCCAGTGGCTTGTATTTGTAATCTTTGCTATGCAGGAGGCTGAGATCTGAGGATCAAAGCTAGCCAGGCAGAATAGTCCAAGAGACTTTTATCTCATTAAGTAGCAAAAATGAAGTGAAGGTGTGGCTCAAGTGGTACAGTACCAGTCTTTATTGGAAGAAGCTAAGGGATAGAACCCAGGCCCTAAGTTCAAGTGCACACAAAAAGAAAGATAAAGAAAAGAAAGAAGGAAAGGAAGGAAAGAAGGAAGGAAGGAAGGAAGGCAAGTAGGAAGGAAGGAAGGAAAAGGAAAAGAAAATGAGAAAGGAAGGAAGGAAGAGTTCCACACACTCAAGGAAGAGTATTTTTAAAGCTCTTGACCAGCACTGGTGGCCCACACCTGTAATTCTAGCTATTCAGGAGGCTGAGATCTGAGGATCATGGTTCAAAGCCAGCCCAGGCGGGAAAGTCTATGAGACTCTTATCTCCAGTTAACCACCAGAAAACTGGAAGTAGAGCTGTGCCTCAAAGTGGTAAAGTGCTAGCCTTGAACAAAAGAGCTCATGGATAGTGTCGAGGCCCTGAAGTCAAACCCCACCACCAACAAAATAAATAAAATAAGGTCTTTCTTTCTTTATTTTATTATTTTTTTGGGTCCAGTCGTGGGGCCTGAACTCTGGGCCTGGGTGCTGTCCCTCAGTTCTTCAGCTCAAGGCTAGCACTCTACCACTTGAGCCACAGTGCCACTTCCGGCTTTTTTCTTTTTTCTTATGTGGTGCTGAGGAATTGAACCCAGGGCCTCAAGCATGCAAGGCAAGTGCTCTACCACTGAGCCACCTTCCCAGCAGCTTCTTTTTTTCTTTCTTTCTTTTTTTTTTGTCAGTCATGGCGCTCTACTGCTTGAGCCATAGCGCCACTTCTGGTTTTCTAGTGCTTTTTTATTGGAGATAAGAGTCTCACAGAGTTTCCTGCCAGGCTGGCTTTGAACCATGATCTTCAGATCTCAGCCTCCTGAGTAACTAGGATTACAGACGTGAGCCACCGGTGCCCGGCCCAATATAGTATTTCTTACCCAGTGGTAGTTTTGTTCCACAAGACTCACTTGGCAGTGTCTAGATAAGATTTTGGTTGGGGCTAGGAAGGTGGCTCAGTGGTAGAGCGCTTGCCTTGCATGCCTGAGGCCCTGGGTTTGATTCCTCAGCACCACATAAGAAAAAAGAAAAAAGCCAGAAGTGGCACTGTGGCTCAAGTGGTAGAGCGCTAGCCTTGAGCTGAAGAGCTGAGGGACAGTGCCCAGGCCCAGAGTTCAGGCCCCACGACCAGACCACCCCCCAAAAAAAAGATTTTCGTTGTTACAACAACCAAAGGAGAAGTGCAACTGGTAGACACCAGGGCTGTATCTATAAATAAAAGAAAGAAATCATCAGTAATGTCAAGTTTGAGAAACCCTTATTAATGAAGACTGTGTGTTATTAGTGAATGGAGAGAAACAACGAAACAGAATACAGTCCAGAAAGAGACCCACACAAATATAGCCATTTGATTCACACAATTAGAGCCATTTGATTTTTAACAAAGACACACATTTTAATTAAGAAAGAATAATCTTTCAGGTGCTGAGGCTAGTGCCTATATTCCTGGCTAATCTGAAGGCTTTGGAGAAATTCAGTTCAAGGCCATCCTTGATAGAAAAGTCCATGAAACTGACGGACTAGCAAAAAGTCAGAAGACGAAATGTGGTTCATGGAGTACCGTCTCTGAGTGCTTTATGAAGAAGAAACAAAAACCAAGTAATAACACGAGACACTGAGTTCAAGGCCTAGTATTAGTGTGCGTGTGTACACACCTGCACGCGCGCGTGCACACACACATACACACACACACACACACACGTGGCTGGGAATGTGGCTTAGTGGTAGAGTGCTTGCCTCAAGTGCATGAAGCCCTGGGTTTGATTCCTCATTTACACAAAAAATAAGTGAAAGAAATAAAATTAAAAGAGGAAAAAATAATTTAAAAAAGCCACACCAAAGTCCTTAGTCAATCTGAATAGGAGCACAATCTGAATAGGTAACATTAACCAGAAAATCTAGCCATCAAAAACTGATCCTGTTAGCCAAGTGCTGGTGGCTCATGCCTGTAGTCCAAGCTACTCAGGAGGCTGAGATCTGATCATTACTTTGAAGCCAGCCTGGGCAGAAAAATCTGTGGGATTTTTTTTTTCCTTTGCCAGTCTTGGGGCTTGAAATCAGAGCCTGAGCACTGTCCCTGAGCTGCTTTTGCTTAAGGCTAGTAATCTACCACTTGAGCCACAGATCTACTTGTGGTGTTTTTGTTTTTGAATTTATGTGGTACTGAGGAATCCAACCCAGGGCTTCATGCATGCCAGGGAAGCGCTCTGTCCTTGAGTTTCTTTTGCTCAAGGCAAGCACTCTACCACTAAGCCACATTCCCAGCCCTATGACATTTTTTTTTTTTTGTCAGTCATGAGGTTTGAACTCTGGGCCTGGGCGCTCTCCTGCGCTCTTCAGCTCAAGGCAGCACTCTACCCTTGAGCTACAGTGCCACTTCCGATTTTCTGGTGGTTTATTAGAGATAAGAGTCTCATGGACGATCCTAATCCTCACCCTAAACCTAACCCTAAGCCTTTCCTAACCGAAACCCTCACCCTCACCCTAATCTTCACCCTCACCCTAGCCCTCACCCTAAAACTAATAAAAATAAAAAAACAATAAAAAAATAAAAATAAAAGAGTCTCATGGACTTTCCTATCGGGGCTGGCTTTGAACTGATATCCTCAGATCTCAGCCTCCTGAGTAGCTAGGATTATAGACGTGAGCCACCAGTGCCTGGCTCTGTGACATTATCTCCAATAAACTACCCACTGCCCCCTCCTCCCCTCCCCCCAAAAACCAGAAATGGAGTTGTGGCTCAAATAGTAGAGCGCTAGTCTCGCGCAGAAGATGCTCAGGAAATGGGGCTGTGGCTCAAGCGGTAGAGCGCTCGCCTTGAGCTGTAGAGCGCAGGGACAGTGCCCAAGCCCAGAGTTCAAGCCCCAGGACCGACAAAAAAAGAAAAAAGAAAAGAAAAAAGATGCTCAGGGAGAGCGCCCAGAGCCCTAAATTCATGCCCCAGGACTGGTGCGCACAAGGATGTGCATGCACACACACACCTTGTTGGTAGGGCACAAACATATTCTCAGAAAACTGTAGCCTCAGGCACCTGACCAGCCAATTCATAACCTCAGGGTCTTTCACGTCACAATCTGACGTCACAGTGGTCTGTCTCCCTAGAGTCCTGAGCAGAGCGGTCTGCACATCGCACATCGCAGGCGCACT